ATCCAAGAAGCTTCTTCAGTTCTCAGTTCTTCCCAACTGAAGAAGCTGGTCGGATGAGAGCTAAAACATTTTCAAAGGAAAAAAAAAAACCCAAGAAAGTCCAATTGCCTTTTGGAAAAAGCACTTTTGGAATTGCAATGACATTGTTTCAACCTTAAATGATCTGGAGGTTTCCAGTGATTGCCTTTGCAGCTGTTTGCCCGGGGAACATTAATGTTTCTATGTGAGTCACGGTGGCACAGTGGTTAGAGTGCAGTACTGCAGGCTACTTCTGCTGACTGCCAGCTGCCTGCAATTTGGCAGCTTGAATCTCATTAGGCTTAAGGTTGACTCAGCCTTCCATCCTTCTGAGGCGGGTAAAATGGGGACCCAGATTGTTGGGGGAAATACGCTGACTTTGTAAACCGCTTAGAAAGGGCTATAAAGTCATATATAAGTCTAAGTGCTATGGTTAGTGCTATTGCTGCAAGTGGTGGGTTGTTTGCTTATTGCGGCTCATTTTCTTGGACTAGGTGTGCATATCCTTGCAGCACCAGCAAAATAATCATGTCCCGTAGCTTCTTCTAAGGTGGGTGCACCTGTTAGGGACCAGACGATTTTTCTGAGCATTTTGATTCCACAGTCTTGCCTGCTTTATAACTTTGGTAGCCATTTTTCAGCCAAAGCAGTTTGTGTTGCCAGAACAGAGCTGGTAGAACAACAAGGTAACTTTGTTGTCTCGAGCATGGAATTGCTTTTTTTCTTTCCATTTCAGTTGGCTTGTTCCTCTAGTAAGAGGCTAAAATGTTCAGTTTATCTATTCACATAAGCCTTTAACCAGAAGATTAGACAGATGGACCGTGCGCCTCTCTGTCTTGGTTCCAGTGGGACTCCGTTCTAGACAATCCAAGGAGATTACCTTAAAAGTGGTAGCAGAACTGATCTGTTGAAGCTCTGCTAATGTGAATGTGCAATCAAGTTGGGGCAGGTAATCCTGCCTGTGGGACAGTAGTGCCCACAGAGGAAAGTGCTCATTCTCCAGAGTTCCTTGGTGATTGAAAAATTATGCCATTAGAAATGCTTCCAAATAAAATGTTGGCTTTTAGCAACTTGACATGAGGTGTTTCTGTCAACACCACTGGATTCTATGTGACTCACAGAGGTTCTTAAGAAAGGCGTTGCAAACCCACAGTTTAAGCATTCTCACCGCTCAACACCAGGGGTGGGATCCGACAGGGTTAACTACCGTTTTGGTGATTTACAAGGTTTGGTGATTTACTATGTGCTTTCCTGCATGCTGCGCGTGCCTGTAAATCATCATCAGCCTGGTGCCTGGACAGCTGAGCAGCGCTGCGTGCCGAGAAGCAGCCTTTGAAAAAGTACTCTTTTCCTGCTTTTTAAACTGCAGCTGTGCCTCGCACGGGCAGCTGAAGTTGAAAAAGCAGAAAATAAAGGTCAGGTAAGAGCCCGGGCAGGCGGGTGGGCAAAAACATCAGCAGACATAGAACCGGTTCTTCAGAGCTACCGGTTCTACAGAGGTGGACAGAACTGGTAGAAACCCACCCCTGCTCAACACCAAAGTTTAAACAACTAATATACGGCAAGCAGATGCTGTAGAAGAAGCTCCAACTTTAGATGATGGGGCTTCTCATGAATGAAGGCGTGGAGATGGTGGAGCTTCTCTTTGCAGAGTAGATATTCCACATTATTTCCTCACCTCTTACACTTTCAACTCGGTGAAAAAACTGGTGGAAGGAACATAAAGGTAAGGATCCTGCAGAAGAAAGAAATCTATTTTGTGGAATCCCTGGTGCTCTCTTAGCTTTGTTGTTCCTTTGCAAACAGCTCAGAAGCACCAAGAATTCTACAATTCTACCCTAAGCAGCAAATATTTTCTTCTTTTAAGATCTATTCTGTCAGGCAGAGGCTATTGTAAGGGGAATATAATTAGATTTCTATTACTCTCTTTAAATCTTTATGATGGTTGCCACGGTATTATAGGTACAGTTTTATATTTGTCTCTGTGTAGGAATTAAATCTCATTGTGCATATTTTATTTTATGATCTTTTTAGCAAATAAATATTTCAGTTCAAATTCCTGTCACCTAAGATATATTAAATTAATATTACCATAGGTACCTTTTTAAAAAAATAAAATTGACTAAATATAAGTCTAATAATCATGCTTAATCTGTGTGGTGTCTTGGAGTCAAAAATAAGTAGATGGCATACAATCAAATCAATCATGCTTAATCCGGCCTTTCATTATTTAAAGGTAGCTTTTCCTAACCAGATCTCCTGCCACATGTATTGGGGGGTACATGTCACCTGTACCAATTAGGCAGCGATGGGATTCAAATTTTTTAACAACTGGTTCTGTGGGCGTGGCTTAGTCGGTGAGTGGTGGCTTGGTGGTCATATTATTGGCTGGGCGTGGCCAACTCAATATCACTCACATTGAGGCACACATCTCCTCACCTGGCGTCCCATGACTGCAGGGATACTGCAACAGTAAGTGTGAAAAACAGTCATAAGTCACTTTTTCCCATGCCATTGTAACTTTGAATGATCACTCCACACAAGCAAAGTACCTGCAAAAGAGGGAAAGAAAACTCCAGAGAAGTTTCTGAGACAGGAAGTCCAGTCCTGCCAAGAATGTAAAAAGGGCTAACGGAGAGGCAGTTTCTGTAAGCAACACCAGAATGTTTCCTTCCTGCCTTCCTTACAGGATTAGGCCAGTAATTTCTTCTAACCACCAGTTCTCCAAACTGCTTAGAATGTTAACAACCGGTTCTAGCGAATAGGTGCGAACTGGTAGAATCCCATCCCTGCAATTGGGTGTTCTTCACTTAATTAATTTTCTTAGTTTGCACAAGAGATTGAATAATTAACTAACCAAGCATGTTGGGCTGAACTTAATTAAGCCTATCAGTAACCAAGCCTAAAATATCTCTGAATTATCTACTAAGTCTTTACCTGAACTGGTTAAGGCAGTTAGGCGATTACAAGCATCTTAAATTTTCTTGATTTTAAACTGCAGACCCTTTGATTATGACTTTTGGCTTGGTTTTGGTCTTTTTTCTTCCACATCCTTTTATTTCTGGTGCCAAAAATTCAAAATATTCAAGTTCAAGATGAGCTGTTTTGACTTAAAAGGTCATGTTCTGATGCTGCTCCAACCTTGCTAGTGTTCTGACCAAGGCTTAGGGAGACACTAACAAACACACCTTAGTCCCAAAACCCATTTTTCTTTATTTCAGTGGCTGTGAATTTTGAGTCTCAAACAGTTTGTAAATAGTCCCATGGAAGCCTGCCAAAGTCCTTCAGGAAAAGTCTGATAAGCATGCACCTTTATCTTCCTTGAAATGTTGCCAATGACTAAATTTCCAATTAGTTATATGAGGCCAAAACGGAACGCAAATTCAACATCGAGCTTTAGGTTTCAAACCGACTAGTACGAATAAAGTTGCTTCCTGCAAAGGTTCATGTCCCTTTGCTCCTCCTTTATGTTTTATGGGAGGGCCAATGACCTCCAAGCCTTACTCCCGAGTCACCCCTTTTGTCTTAACCGTTCTTGCCTTCTGGTAGCTCTGTGCATGCACGCCCTGGGAACAGGGTCCTTTTGTTCCTCTGCTTTGCTGCTGTCAGATTCTGGAGGCTCTGGAGTCAGCACATAACTCCCAGATGGCCCTGGCCCCATCTCACTATCGGACACAGGACCCACATCTGAGTCCTCCCCAGACTCCTGGACTGGCCCATGTTCCTCCCCACTGTCTGACTCTGCTGCCGTCTCCACAGGCTGCCGGCAGACCACAACAGCTAGAAGTGTTTTGACTCCAAAATTAATGTTCTAAGCTGAAGGTAACCTTAGGCTTTCAGCTCGAAATATTGGGATGGCATCAGAACATAGCATAGGAGATGAGAATAGTCAGTTTCAATTTTAGCTCCAAATGGGGCACTTCAAGCTTAAAAGTTTTCACACTATAATGTGCAGAACATTGAGCATTTGAGAAGATTCAAACCTGAAATACTATGTTCCAACTTGAAGGCCATTTTCCAACTTTATCAGAAAGTGCTCCAGTGTTGAACTAACCATTCTGGAAATGTTCCAAGCTCAAAATGGACCCCTTCAAATTCAGTTTCAAACTGGAAAAGAGGGCTGTTTGAAGCTCAAAACATTTCTGGAAAAGTTGGAACAGCACTAGAATACATCCAGTGTCACCGTTCTTGGATAGACCAGACCAGAAACACAACCCAATGAGCTAATTCTACTTTATTGTAAGGCTACATTAACAGAATCTTGCAAGTCTTGAAAGTACAAATCTCTTGCCATCTCTTTTAGAGTCTGAAAAACTGGGGTGAGCTCCTTTCCCACCCTCTTTGTCCACCCATTGTGCATCTGTGGGCCATGCCCTCTCTTATCAGACCTTTCCCTAAACAGCATTTCTTTGCTCTGTTTCGCAAGATCTTTCTCACCTACTGTTACATCCGATGAGGTCAGATCAGCTTGTTTTGAATTTGAAACAACTGTTTCAAGCTCAAAATATTTTTCACATGGCTAATTGTGTTGACTAGTAGTTCTCAACCTTTTCTTCATCTTGGACTCCTTTAAAATGGCCATGGACTCCCAAGACAACTCAAGATTTAAAGCACTAGACTTAACAATTGGCAGATGCCCTATGATGACACCATGCCCCTCCTAGTGGTCCACAGGTTCAAAACCACTCTGTTCTCGGAGAATTAAAAAGCTCACAAATTCCTTTGTGTTGCTCCGATTAAGAACAGCATAACTTTCATCCAACATTCATTCCTACCCACTAGCATAGCTGTAACTGTTTGTCCATGCTATCTGATAATTCTTCCATTGGGAGATCTGAAGGTCACAAGACTGAGAAAGGTTGATTTAAGACAACAGAAAACACTCAATTTCAACATATTCTGCACCTCCTCTATACACTGAAGAAAGTGAACACGTGAATTGGTTAATTTCCTGACTTGTTTCTATACATTGATCATTATAGATTGGGAGCTTAGAAGACTATTATCATTTCCATCACAGCAAGACCATTAAAAGATCAACGTTCAGCAGCAGAGGCCCACACAACTTCCTCAGAATGGATCCAAAGGTATGTATGTCCACTACCAATATTAGCTACCACAAAAACCATCGACAATAAGACCCCAGGTTCCAAACTGAAAGGAAGTCAGCCAAGAAATGAAAAAAAAATCTGTGAAAGGTCGAAGTATACTTGATGCGTAAACTCTAATTTTATTTCCATGTACAGTATGTTATTTTCATGGTTTTTGTGTATTATTGAAAGACATTCTAAAATGTACCTATTTTGTGACTCTGCTGTACTTAAATAAAAGACGATCTATGAATCTATAGTTGCAGTTTGGATGGTTTGTAAGGATAGAAAATTACAGAAATACTATCCAAATAGCCAAATACTATTAATGTAAGCTAGATTTAGCTTCCTTTCTTTCCTTTTCCTTTTCTCCTTTTCTCCTTTTCTCCTTTTCCCTTCCCTTCTTTCATCTCTTTGTTTCTCTTCCTCTCCCCTCCTCCAAATTACCATTATTACACGTTCATGCGTGTAATCTGTAAACCAAGGTTTATGGCTAAATATGTGTAGCAAATCCAGTCATTTGTACTTCATCCAATAAACCGATGGGTAGACAAACCATCATGCAGAGTGAAAATGAGAATGCCACTCGAAACCTAGGCAGCTCTAGGATTTAATTAATTAAATAAATAGCCTGCAAACACACTCAGCATAGCCACAGCGAATTATTTTTTTTATCATCCACAAGAGGCAAAGAGGCATTATTTCAAGTTGCTATTCACTCTCCAGCCCAGAGACCCTCATTGGCTCTCCTCCATCTTTGCTTCTCGGTTGGCACTATCACTGAATTGGTGCTGTTTCTCAACTCTGCTCTTTCAGCTGAAATCTTTAATAAGAGCGTGAATGTTGCTTATTCCTTTGCCCTAGCTGTCCACTTCCGCCCTAGCTGTCCTCTTCCGCCCTTCTTATCTTCTTCTCCTTCTTCTGCATCTGAGCTGATTCCTGCTGTTCTGGAGGAAGAGGTCTAACCAACCATATAGTAGAAGAGGGTCCCACAGACCTGCTCCCTGGCTAAGCATCCCACCCCCACTCTTTTCCTGACCTATATTACCTGCCTGGGGAATTTGTTCTTTACCCTCTGGCAGTTTCTCAGACAGACTGTCTAGCTCTTTTCTGAATAACTTTTTCTTGGGCACTGGCTCTTTGTATTTTAGTCATCCTCCTGTCCGTCTACTTTCTTATTTTAGACCAAGTTCTTGAGAAGAGCTGCCCCTGTCAAATGGATTCCTTATTGTCATTATTTAATGGGCTCCTTGATCCATGTAAATCAGACAGGTCATCCGTTCAGCTCAGAATGATATTCTGCTGACCCAAGTCCCAATGCTTGTTCATTGGTGCTGGTTCTTTTGGCCCAAAATCTACTTTGCTCTGCTTATCTGCCAACCACCACTTTGCTGTACTTCGAATAGAATAACAGAGTTGGAAGGGACTTTGCAGGTCTTCTAGCCCAACCCCCGGCTTAGGCAGGAAACCCTATACCATTTCAGACAAATGGTTTATTTATTTATTTATTTGGTTCATCAATTGCTTACAAGATAATAGGTATAAGTAAAAACATAGTTATGAATACATGGATACATATAAGAAAAAGAAAAGAAAAGAAACAATAGGACAGGGACGGTAGGCACATTGGTGCGCTTATGCACGCCCCTACAGACCTGTTAGGAAAGGAGTGAGGTCAATAGTAGACAGTCTAAGGTTAAAGGTTTTGGAGGTTTGGGGAAGAAACCACAGTCAGGTTGAGTATTCCAGACATTGACCACTCTGTTGCTGAAGTCGTATTTCCTGCAATCAAGTTTGGTGTGGTTAACCTTGAGTTTGTAGCTATTGTGTGCTCTTGTATTGTTATGGTTGAAGCTGAAGTATTCATTGACAGGTAGGACATTGCAATGTATGATTTTATATACTATACTTAGATCAGACTGAAGGCGGCATAGATCTATGTTTTCTAGGTCTAGAATTTCGAGTCTGTTGGCATAAGGTATTCTGCAATGAGTAGAGGAGCAGAGAACTCTTCTTGTGAAATGGTTATCCAATCTCTTCTTGCAAACTTCCAGTGTTGGAGCATTCACAGCTTCTGGAGGCAAGTTGTTTCATGGATTAATTGTTCTAACTGTCAGGAAATTTCTCCTTAGTTCTAGGTTACTTCTTTCCTTGATTAGTTTCCACCCATTGCTTCTTGTCCTGCTTTCAGGTGCTTTGGAGAATAGCTTGACTCTCTCTTCTTTGTGGCAGCCCCTGAGATATTGGAACACTGCTATCATGTCACCCCTAGTCCTTCTCTTCATTAAACTAGACTGGGCCTCCAGTCCCCCAACCATGTTTGTTGCTCTAACTTGTCCACTGCCTGATTCTTGGGCATTACTGGCTGAGTTTTGGTTGGATTCAAGTCTTCTGTCATACTTGCCTGGCAGGGAGGATGCCTTGTCCATGATTCAAACCTTCTGCCTCCCATTCTTCTGCAGGATTGCACGTTGGCTTCAATACCAGGGATTTCCATTATTGTAACTGTCACTCAGGAATCAGTCATGGGTGGTGATCAGTCCTGGGTGCTAAAAATGGGTGATTTTCAGTATCAGTATCACTATTACCCTGATGAAACCCTGGTCTGTCACTCTTTTGTCATCCATGACGATGATGCATTATCGCCTGTGATACAATATCTCAGGAGCATTTTGACTTAGATATTCTCAAGTTGCATAACACAAAAACTGTCTTTCCATCCTTGCTTGTGTTTCCCCCACTGTTTTTCCAGGCTCCTGGGTTGTCCCAGTTTCCTCTGCCTGTGATCTTGGGGTCTTGTCTGACAATTAACTGACTGTGACAATGCGAAGTTCTCACAGGATCAGGAGATAGATGTAGATGAAAGGGAACATACAATAGCTTCGTTGAGCATGCGTTGATTGATTCATACTTAAGATTATTACAGTGGTCACCTCTCTCTAGTCTTAATCCTAGTCCAGAACAGGACCTTTCTAGATCTTCTAGGCTATACTCATATTTTACTACATTGCAGGACTCTATGTTGGTTCCCTGTTCAAGCTGCTTAAATATTAATATTTGTGTTTAGAAGTCTTTGGTGCAACATTCCTTGATCTGTTCTCATATTTCTCCCTACAATGCTATTTGTTCCTTATGTTCCCGAAGCCAGGCCTTCTCTCTATTCCTCACCCCATCTCCAGGCTTCCTGGTGTCAGGAATATTGTCTTGTGGCTGTGGGATCAACTCTCTCCATGTGGTCACTTCTGTCAAATTCTGATGACCTTTAAAAAAAACATTTTTTAAAATTTGACTAATATATTAGAATGGGGCTGGTTGTTTTACTCTCCTCTAATTAACTTGGTAGTTTTTCAAGTTAATATTTTTTATATTAATTATGAATATATGTACGCTCTGCTGTTTCATGGGAGTGTTCTTTTAAATATTTATGCCTGTTGAGTTTGATGTGTATTGTAAATACTAGGTTTATAAGATTGGCTGTTAAAGTTATGAACTCATTTTATTATGCCGAATTGTATAACTATTGTATTTCCTTCCAATTTGTACCATGCCTCAGTAAGGTATGTCATATTAATAATAATAATAAGAAATAACTAGAGCACAAATGCTAGTGATTTTTTTCTTTTACTAGTAATCACTAAAACTCTACATTTAGGGAGTTAGTAAGAGACAGCCGACGATTTCCTAAATCAACCTGCTAAAGAAGTCTTCAGACTTTTTAAAACACTTCTTTAGGGTTGTATGATAATTGCTAGAATATTTAATATTCCTTTCATTGATGAACAGGAGTTGTTTTCATACTACTGTAAATTGGATTAAAAGGATGCTAATTAGATCTAATTGTCTTTGAAGAAAGAGGGTTATGATGTGCTCTACCAGTTAAGTATTTTGTCCTTTGAGGATTTTTTTTTGGCTAGTCTATCTTTCCTTTTTTTTTTTATTCAATGATACATCCTTATGTCTTTGCTACAGGGCAATCCAACCTTGTGGTGGATTATTAATACAGAAGCAAATAGGTACTACTATATCTGCTTCTTCCCTGTGATTTGCGTGAAGATTTTGAAACACACAAATATTTTATTCTGATCAATAAATCTTTACCAGTTGCTCATTTTTAACCTGCTCTTAATTTTGGGAGATTTCTAAGACACCTTTTGAATTGCAAAGCTGCCCTTACTGGAATATGTAAAAAAAAATCCAATAGATGGAAAGGAAAAATATTATGAACAATGAAAAAGGAAGTAAAACCTTGTATTCTTTCTTCTCAGAAGATGTGGTACAATTTTCCATTTTTTTTCTCCTCAAACTCACTGATGATGAACATCAACAGTTTCCACAAATTATCCATTTGGGGAGGAGAAATGGAGGACGATCTGCTTCTGTTAGAATATTGGTTTTCTACAGGATTATTGAAAATCTAGGCTTTGAAGATAAAAAGGGAAACGAGTGTGAGGCACAGTCAAAGTATTTCCTTGCCAATTGGCCAGGATAGCAATAGCACTTACACTTATATATTGCTTCACATTGCTTTACAGCCCTCTCTAAGCAGTTTACAGAGTCAGCCTTTTACCCCCAAGAATCTGGGTCCTCATTTTACCCACCTTGGAAGGATGGAAGGCTGAGTCAACCTTGAGCGGGACAGGATCGAACTCCTGGCAGTCAGCAGGGTTAGCCTGCAATACTCTATTCTAACCACTGCACCACCATGGATGCAAATCACCTGGCTGTATTTGGTTTTGTTTTTTTCTTCTGGGGGCAGAGAGACAATTTGAAGATGTCAATTTTAGGAGCATGGCACCCAGTCCACAGCTTCTAATGGAGGACCCTAACCCTAACCCAGAAAACCAATTCTTTTAGAGTTTAGCTACACCAGTTCTTTATTCTGCAGCTTCTAGATAGCTCTATGAGAGAATTTTAAAAGTTCAAAACCAGCGGCAGGGAGCCCTTTCACAGTCAAAACAGTCATGCATGCAGGAGAGATTCCATCTCCCTTTCTACCC